GCCAACCCGTTTATATCCGCAGCATTCGGCGGCAGCCTCGAGAAGGCTTCTCTTAAACAGCTGCCACTCGATTTCAACATCAGTTGTCATCGCTGGGATTTGTTTAAACTGTCGTGCGATGTTGTTTGCAAATTGCGCTGTCGTATCCACCGAAGACAATGTTTCCTATTTGATTCTCCGGTCGCTTCTGCCACCGGATCTTCGTATGGTATTCCATTTCTTACAGCGCAGGGTGCCAACAACAAGGTGATGATCGGTTGATAGCTCTGCGGCTTTTTTAACACGAACATCCATTACTGAGCGTCTTAGGTCAGACGATACGATTATCAAATCGATCATCGACTTCTGTGCACATAAAGCTCAATTCAGTATTTAATTTCAATGACCGCTTTTCGTTTCAGGTCGCGTAGTCAGACGCTTCAGAGAGTGTTCCAGCGTTTTCGATCCTGTGCCATAGTCTGAGTTTCGACAGGAGACAAGTGGAGTCTGGAGCAGACTTCTTTCCTGTATTTCCACCAGGTTAATCTTCGCCGTCCTCTGGACCTTCTGCCGTTAGATCGGGAAAAAAAGAGTTGCTAAGCCTTCCTTTCCGAAGGCATTTGCAATACGTGCCCACGCCATCGCAAATGTAACCTCTCAATTTAAAGAAGCGGCGGCTGTACACCAAGGCTCTTTCCGATTTCTGTACTTGGAACTCTATCGAGACGATTAAGGTCACCGACTCTCTCAGAAAGTTCATTTCAGGTGCTTGTACTCAGAAACGAAGGTTTTCAGTTAAGGTCCATGACTCTTGACTGTAGGTAAGCATGGGGATAAACATCGGCTTGAATTCTGAAAGCCTTGTATTCGGACTCAGCAGTGAATCAATCACAACGGTTCGGGGTGATTCATTATTTTGTATCTCACTCGCTTGTTCAATATTAAATCTCGTCTAAGCCGCTCAGATGAATCATGTAAAGCCGCGTTCTTGAATGTTATCGATCACATTCCGTGCCATGTCTTCGCTGGGATTGCAACTGCATATATCTTGCGTGATGCTCGATATCGAAATCGACGTGGTCGTCGCTTCGCTTCCGCTAGTAGACCTCTCAGCAGAATGCCGAGGCGTGAAAAGCACCTTCGTTCCGTTGATAATGAACTAAACGAACTTGAGTCGTTATTGCACGTGAAGCAGTTCAGCATAGTGTCAGTATTTGTAATTCGAGAATCCATGAAAAAAATTCTGGATTTAGCTTTGACTCTTAATGTTTCCCAGCGGTTTAACAGGATAGATCATACGATCTAGTAGTCCTGACATTCATGCGTCAAGAATCGTGTCTTGAACCTGCGGCAATGTCGGCTTTTCAGTCGGATTGCATGGACTGACTCGTCCTTCGTTGATTAAAAAAATGTTCCTGCCAGGATATACTAATTGCATAATTGGCAATATGCATCGCACTAAACTGTGAGGTGGGAAATATACAAGAATTTACCAAGTTTGCTGCTGTAATTTTGTCAACTAGACATTTTGAGGGGTGATTTTAAGCACCACAATTTCAATGCATTGCTGCACCTGGACCATACGAAACTGTGCATATCAGGCAACATCACTGGCTTATGAAATCTCTCATCTTCTGTACGTTGCGTAGGTCTATGTCCATTGAAATGTCAGATCTTTGCATCATTCGTATCCTTCCCATCTTGCAATCCAGAAAGAAACAAACATGCGACAGTGCAGTGCTTGCTATGGCACATATAAACGCGTTGTCATGACCCAAGAAATGAAAATACCGTCAAGCTCTGGCTGTATTTACACTCTTACCGTTGCCACATTGGCCGCGGAATCAAGGAAAATTGAGTGACATTGCGTCATTGTTTAAGAAGGTGCCCATCGATAGCTTCAACAACTACACATTCCAAAAGATCAGGGTGGCAAGGCGCTGCATCAAATAAAAGTAACCGCAACGACTACGTTGCAAAAATGAACTGCCGTACACAGGGGTTCGTCAATTGTGCTGGTATCCGGAAAGTTCACCGACTGCAATTCACCGACGAAAAGTTCACCGACGAAAAGTTCACCGACAACAATTCACCGAATGGAAAATTCATCGACTGGAAAATTTACCAACCCGCAATTCGTCGAACGGAAAATTCACTGATTTTACAATTGATCGCCGAAAATTTATTTATAATGATCATAAACCAGTGTTATTTAGAAATAACATATTTGAAAGATTATGCTAATGAGCAGAATAATTACCATAATATTACCTGTCCACACAAAAATAAATTTTATCTAATGCATTTATTTAGAAATGGCACATTTGAAAGATTACTTAATGAACACAATAATTACCATGCTTCATCCTTACATAAAGCCTCAGAAAATTCAGAGGTCAGTTTCGTGAAGTTCTTCGAGTGTGAACTTCAGTTACGAATCTTCATCAACCGTCATGGCCCTTCAGTTCGTCACGAGTGAAAAGGGAAGACAGAAACGTTTATTGTAAGGCCACTTATTTTTCAAAAAAACAAGCTGACAAGACATATTGAGAAGTGTGAGATGCATCATAAGCACAATTTCCGGATTCATGTAATAAAAGTTGGAGATGCCATTGATGCCGTGAAGGGAGTTCACAACCACAATGGGGATGCAGCTGATATAGAAGCTTTCAAGATGGAGGATATTGTACGTGATCATGCAATAAAAGCCAAGAAGCCACCATATATTTTATTTAATTGTGCTTGTGGGATTTTGTGGGCAAGCTGCTGCAGGACATATTGCGAAGACAGAAAGTATCAAAGAAACGCTGCAAAGCATCGGAACAAGGAAATGAGCAGCACCTGCTTTGCCTATTTGCCGACAGAAAATTGTATTTCCTGCGCAGTGCAAGATATCCAAAGAAGGTGAACCGTTCTAGCTGTTTGATTCAGGACAACGGAAGAGAGAATATTTTATTTTCCACCGCGAGAAATCTCCGTTCACTGGCCTCATCTGAACACTGATTTGTGGACGGAACTTTTAAAACAGTGCCTCATTTGTTTTACCAACTCTACACACTCCATGGTATTCAGGTGAACAGTTCAATTCCGCTTTTGTATGCTCTACTACCAGACAAGATAGAGGCCACTTATGTCTGGTTATTGCAACAAGTAAAGCAAGTTCAACCTGAAGCCTTCTCAGAAGCAGTAGTGGCCGAATTCGAACCTGCCATAGTCAGTGCTATTCGTCAAGAATTTCCAAGGGCTAGACATCGAGAATGTTTCTTGCATTTCTTGCAGTGTATATTCCAAGGATTCAGACAGAAAATCTTCAGAGAAAGTTCGAAACTGACATCGAATTTGCTATGAGAATGCGTCTGTTGTCTGTGTTGGTCTTTTCCCAACAGAAGACGTGGTAGAAGTGTTTCAGGTTCTTAGCGGTAACTGTGATAACATGCCTGAAGAAGCACAACACTTGATTGATTACTTTGAGGACTGCTGGACTGGACGTCCTCAAAGATGCATGGGACGCCGAATGCCCTGCTTCTCCCTGGAAATGTGGAACTGTTACGAAGGAGTAAGACACTGTCTTCCGAAGACAAATAATGCAATTGAAGGATAGCAGGTGGATTCGAAATACAATTATCTGTACAACACCCTAATATCTTGAAGTTTATTGAAGCGATTCAGCGTGAGAAGAGCGTCAGAACATTGCAAATTGAACAATATGTGAGTGGTCATTAAGGTAGCCCTGCATGTAAGAAATATAGGCATTGCGCTGAGACTTTTCAGAGTAGTTGCGAATTATGACAGTAGTAATGTTTTAGAGTTTTTGAGAGGGTGTGGCAGATAATATGAATTACTAATTAGGTATTGCGTGCAAATAATGTTTCAGAAGTTTTTTTCAATTAAATTATTCCATTGCAATCTGTTTTATTCGAAATTTAAAGGGACATACAACATTATCATTTCCAGGCAAATTAGTTCAAAATCAGCAGATTTCAATTTTATAGAAGTGTTGGCACTACTTTATGGTATGAAATAAATTAAGTTTTTTACGTTACATGGTTTTTAATAAATAAATTATAGGCGATCAGTTGTAGGGTCCGTGAATTTTGCGTTCGATGAATTGCTGGTCAGTGAATTTTCCGTTCGGTGAATTTTCCAATCGGTGAACTGCTGTCGGCGAATTTTCCGTCGGTGAATTGCAGTCGCTGAACTTTCCTAGATCCAGTTGTGCTGATCTTTACCTAGATCAGTCTAAACTGAATTTTGTCGGTTGAATTATATCGATGTTCATGCACACGTCGCTGACAGAGAACCCAAAACCTTGCGGATGAACATGAAAAACTTCTGCAACACGATGAATGAAACTGATGTATTTGCCTACTCGGAGATTGACCTAGAAGATTTAAAAAAAAGCATTTCTAATGCTAAGAAAAGAATTCGTCTAGCCATAAGGTGCCAATCTTTCTCGAGTCGCGAATGGTCAATTATCGAACAACTTGAACTGCCAGTGACTGCTGGACACGAGAGGTACAACATAAAGACGGTTAAACATCAGAAGGCAGCGTTCAAGAAATGGCTTGGAAACAAAGAGTCTTCTACTCGCTTGCAATGTCTTAAGTCATGCAAGGCGGCAGCGAAACAGTGCCGGAATCCAAATATGACTCCTGGGAAGAGCTCAGTGAGGTGTTGAAGTCGAATTTTCAAACGGCAAACAAAGTATTCTGGCAGACCATCCGCCGGCTCCGAGGTGAAAAGACGGGCAGTGTCAGAGTCT